TTCATGGAGTTCAGGTTGTAAGGGTTGTTTTATGGATGGAGTCATTATGGAGTTCAGGTTGTAAGGGTTGTTTTATGGATGGAGTCTTCATGGAGTTCAGGTTGTAAGGGTTGTTTTATGGATGGAGTCATCATGGAGTTCAGGTTGTAAGGGTTGTTTTATGTATGGAGTCATCATGGAGTTCAGGTTGTAAGGGTTGTTTTGTGTATGGAGTCATCATGGAGTTCAGGTTGTAAGGGTTGTTTAATGGATGTAGTCATCATGGAGTTCAGGTTGTAAGGGTTGTTTTATGTATGGAGTCATCATGGAGTTCAGGTTGTAAGGATTGTTTTATGGATGTAGTCATCATGGAGTTCAGGTTGTAAGGATTGTTTTATGGATGTAGTCATCATGGAGTTCAGATTGTAAGGGTTGTTTTATGGAAGGAGTCCTCATGGAGGATATTTTGTTCTTAATTAAACAGCCCCCACTGCCTGGTGGGTCAGCGATAAGAAGTCCAAGAGTGTGTGACGGTGGGTGTCGTTGACTAGCTATTTTCTCTGTATTATCTATCGTTTCAAAATTCTTGACAGCCATGCGCAGGTATTCAGAAACAAACTTTAAACATGTTTAATTTTTCACAATTTATTCGAAACATTAAAAAAAAGACTTCTTGACAATTAATTCAGAAGTAGCCGTCTTAGAAAATACCTGACTGAACTCGTCTAATCCTTGTTCTTGTAGGTCGCTACAGACTTATGTCATCTGGTGACTTGCACGTTTTGGATGTCAGTCTGTCTGACAGTGGTGTCTACCAGTGCGTCGCTCACAATCCGTTTGTAGGTGAGATGGTAAAAGCCAACCATAAGGTTATTCTGGAGGTTCAAAGTAAGTATAAGTCACTTCTTTATAGATTGAAAGAAGGGTTATGACGAGAAATTCCTTGAACCTGTACATTAACTGTGTTTATCAGGACAGTCGTTGATACACGATTAGGGTTAAGACTTGTACATTTCTCTTGAAAAGAAATATGACATGCTGAAACTGTGAACGTTATCATTGTACACGTGTCTTCATCCGATAAATCCGAGCTGGACACGGTCACCTGTCGAGGACCTAGCGTGGCCAAGTGTTTGGTCTGCCGAACTCTACCTTTATAGGCCATCGTTCATGTTTCGTTAACGCCAAGAAAGAAAAACAAATCGCGCTCTGGACTTTGGTGACAGTAAAATTCTACTATCCGGTCAGACAAGGATAGTCTAAGAGTTGGCGGTAAATACTGTTGATTAACTTTCCCCCTAGTCTATCAACCCCAAATTAAAGGCGGGTAACACGGATAACCCCTTGAATAGCTTTGTGGAGATATTCAAAACCAAACAAATCATGTATCGAATAAAGACTGTTTTACACACACACACATGAAGACAGACACGTTGACCTCTCCAAATGGTCAACTTGTTTACTTATTCACCCGTTTTCTTGATGAAGACATGATAACTGTGTTTGGTCACTTACCGGATGAAGACATGATAACTCTGTATTTGGTCACTTACCGGATGAAGACATGATAACTCTGTATTTGGTCAGTGAAGACACTTTTGTAGTTGTCAGTTGCTGAATAAAGTCACGTTGACCATGGTCATTTGTTGGGTTAAAATGTTCTCTCCTCTCAACATGGTCACTAACTTTTGGTCAATGTTTGAAAAATATTTACCCATAAGTATACTCTTTAGGTCAAGGTCAAATGTCGTAAAAAGTCATAGTTACCAGTATATTCTTTAGGTCAAGGTCAAATGTCGTAAAAAGACATAGTTACCATTATATTCTTTAGGTCAAGGTCAAATGTCGTAAAAAGTCATAGTTACCAGTATATTCTTTAGGTCAAAGTCAAATGTCGTAAAAAGTCATAGTTACCAGTATATTTTTTAGGTCAAGGTCAAGTGTCGTAAAAAGACATAGTTACCAGTATATTCTTTAGGTCAAGGTCAAATGTCGTAAAAAGTCATAGTTACCAGTATACCCTTCGAGCTTTCAAACTGAGTTGATAACAAAATTATTTTTAAAAATAAATATTTCTAAATGTAATCAAAGCATAAAGCTTCACATAACGTTTCAAAGGTATAAACTCCGGAGTTAAATTCCTGTGTTGACCGTTTCGAAGCCACACATTTCACAGTTAAGCGTTTCTCAGTTATATGTTTCCGAATTAATGATATAAAAATGCATAAAGTAAACCATTAAATAGCATAATATTCACTCTATACTTTATTTTCTTCGAGTTAACGACTCTCACAAGCTTTGAAAGTAAGTATTGGAACGTATATTTAACTGATGTGTCACACTCTTCATTAATTAAACATCTGACACTACCACGTACTGAGATTCTTGGTGAGTTTAATTAATGACCTTGCCAAACTAAAACCCCTTTGGTGGTCGTCTTTTAGTCTTTCTCAATAGTTGGCGCTAAACAGGCTTTCTTTCGTCTTAGTCTTAAAACTTGTTATGTTACGTCTATTTCAGGATCGTGACTTTCATGTTTTCAGTGAGAAAACAGTTTGTTTTTTTAATGTTTGTTTTGGCGCTTAACAACCCGTCCACATTGGTCTGACTTGCAAACAGAAGTATGATTTCAACCTCTTAAAGCCCCCCCCCCTAGATAACTCGGTAGAATGCTTGGGGGGGGGGCTTATAATGCTACAATTCGGGCACAGCGCAGATAGCCCATTTTGTAGCATTCTGCTTTAAAACAAACTTGGAGGTTAACTTACAGCCTCACTTTTTAACCTCAATACGAATAGAATGGAGATAGAACATTCATTTTAACAAACATCGTTTTGTCGTATTCTAAATATTTTCCAAAAACCGGCGTGTCTTGAATCTGATGATCTATAAAATGTAACAGACCATACCAGTAGCGACCCCTGTTGGTGAAATATTTTTCCAATTAGTTTATGATTGCACTTTGTTGACTGACCTTTTGTTTCGAACTTCACCAATATTTTAAGAAATACCTCTACACGAGAACTTACGTTATCTGAATAAGTAAGGAGGATAAAAAGGAATAAGAAAATCACTATGGTTTGATTTCCTAAATAAGTAAGGAGGATAAAAAGGAATAAGAAAATCACGATGGTTTGATTTCCTAAATAAGTAAGGAGGATAAAAAGGAATAAGAAAATCACGATGGTTTGATTTCCTAAATAAGTAAGGAGGATAAAAAGGAATAAGAAAATCACTATGGTTTGATTTCCTAAATAAGTAAGGAGGATAAAAAGGAATAAGAAAATCACTATGGTTTGATTTCCTAAATACGTTAGGAGGATAAAAAGGAATAAGAAAATCACGATGGTTTGATTTCCTAAATTAGTAAGGAGGATAAAAAGGAATAAGAAAATCACGATGGTTTGATTTCCTAAACAAGTAAGGAGGATAAAAAGGAATAAGAAAGTTTATTATCTACTTATTTATCTGGTTTAAGATGCTCAGTGAAAGGTAGTTGGACTGTTAATAATATAATAATTCTACAGGTAAAAAATCGTATGTTCGGTATTTTGAACTTTCACACACCATGCCGATAGAGGGCGCTTTTGAGGAACACCATGTAATGTTTCATATATATATATATAAGGACTAATAGTGGTATTGTAGAGGTACAGCTAATTAATAATATACCTTCAAAATTTTCTTAGTTTAATCTGATGACCGCTAGAAGGCGCTGAATAAAAATGTGTTATATATGACTTAATTTATGGTTTCATAACACTATACATGCTTCCAAATAAGTATTGAATTGCTATTTTTTTTCCAGACACTACAAATGTCTCTTCGCCCGTCTTAAGTGCATTTCCGGAACCTACTACCAGTGTCGTTCTCGGCAGTAATGTTACTTTAGAGTGCGTAGCTCACGGTTTCCCACCGCCTCAAATAACGTGGACCAAAAAAAACGGACATCTGCCATATCACAGAAATTATCAAGATACAGGTAACTTGTTTTCTCGTATTCTATAGTTATATAGGAATTCATATTGGTTAAAATATTTTATTTTCATTTATTTTCTATAATATTTCATTGAAAAGTCGTATATACAATTCACGAGGGTGCGCTTATGAGCTCTAAGTTCAATTTACTTTACAATTAGGCCTAACAATGATCTGCTAGGCCTAGAAGATCAATCCACTCTACTTTAAAAAGACGTAGTAATAATATTATTGATAGTATTATTATTACTTAATTAATTAACACTGATTAACGTTCCTTTACAATCTTCATGAATTTGCACTCGATTCAAGCTACACATCGATACTTATGTTGTTGTTTTTTTCTAATTCAAATGAGACGAGCAAAGTCTAATTAGTAGTGTGTCAGGAATATGAATCCGAGGGTTCATGGTTCACGTTCCGCAGTCTTGAAAAGTCGCTTTGTACCTTCGGACCATGGATGCGTTAGAAGAGTTGCAGTCAAACCCCTCTATTCGGTCAGATAAGAGTAACTCAGGAGTTGGCGGAGGGTGCTGTTTACTAGCTGTCTTTTTCTCTAGGATAGCTCTTCAAAATTAGAGACGCTATGCGAAATTTCTAAAAACAAACTTAGTTATATTATATTTCTCCCCTAGTGAGTCAGAGGTACGTTTTCGGACGTGCAACCCTAAGATTCGGAATACAATCCCCCGAGGTGAACCGAGCGCAAATAGCCTATTATGTAGCTTTATGGTAAAACAAACAAACCAACAAAATTCAATGCATTTCTAACGTTAGATAAGTTTGATGACGAGGAACCCACTTTGAGACTAATAATGGCTGGAGACCAGGTTTTCTTCATTACCCATTCAAGCCGTCTCCAGCCATTATCAGATAAGTTTACTGTTTTACAGAGTTCGGTTTGAAACTGTGTTAAAATTTTAGTAAGGCTAGTGCTGCCTAAGTGTTGTTGTTTTCTTAATATAAAGCTATGCAGTTGGCAATTCTGTCCAGGGGTGAGAATGGAACCCAGGATTTTAGCGTTTAAAGTTCGTTGTCATGCCGCTGATCCTAACACTGACGAGGGTAAAAGTGTGTTTATTTATACCTCTTTGTGTTAGGGCTAACACTCGTTTTAATGTTACGTAGAAGTTTAAATATTCGTATATAAGCTTAATTTTACTCTAGGTCGAAGGTTTTACGCCAAAAGACACGAATGCTTCCATTCCGCAATATTTTTATAATAAATTGTCATGTTGAATACTCTTAAAAATATCTTTAAACGTGTAGATGCTAATTATGGAAAGTACAAAAAACTGTATTTTCTCATTTTATTTTTCATTCAAACAAAAGAAAAAAATTTCTTGTTGAATTTAAAACATTTTTACTGTTACATTATTCTGTATATTGATAAAGTAATAATCTATTGTTGAGTTTAAAATAAGTTTTTACTGTTATAATATTCTGTATATTGTTAAAGTAACAATCTATTGTTGAGTTTAAAACATATTTTTACCGTTATAATATTCTGTATATTGGTAAAGTAACAATCTATTGTTGAGTTTAAAACATATTTTTACTGTTATAATATTCTGTATATTGTTAAAGTAACAATCTATTGTTGAGTTTAAAACATATTTTTACTGTTATAATATTCTGTATATTGTTAAAGTAACAATCTATTGTTGAGTTTAAAACATATTTTTACTGTTATATTATTCCTTAGTTAGTAAAATAACTTTTGTTCCGGTTTCAGGAAACCTGTTATTATTTGGAGTATTAGAACAAGACAGAGGAACGTACACGTGTTCCGCTAATAATAGCGCTGGGTTTGTTAGAGCAGAAACAGCACTTGAAGTAGAAGGTCGGTCAGTTTAATTTTATTAATGGATTTGAAAAAAACAAACAAACTGTTTTTAGTTCCTGGCTTACATTTTCATTTTCACAAAATAGAACCTAGAATTATTCAGTATTTTTAATTGTGCTGAGTTCTACTGTTTAGAAGAAAAGAACGTAACAGCCTCCGGTGTCTCAGCGGTTAGTCTATGGGAATATGACGTTAAAATTGGGTTTCGATACCCGTAGTGGGCAGAGCACAAATAGGCCGTTGTGTAAGTTTGTGCTCAACAACCATCGAACAAACTTTAGTTAATAATTATTAGAAATAATGACACTTTTAGATTTCATACTGTACTTAGCTAATTCTCTGTTCAAAAAAAAGCTATAACCATTAACTATTTGACTTTGTCAGATGTTTCAGTGGATACATTACTTTTTGTTAAACCAGGCACCTTAACTTCTTTGCATGACAACATTGTACATTAACACTTTCCAACACAGACGTGGGGAGGGGGTTTCAGTATTGGAAGTGCATCTGCCCGGGAAGTTTTATAATTGAGTGGCAATTTAGACAAATTTTGATGTTGCCCTCAACTTTGGGGCCATGGGTTCACCCTGAGAGTGACTGTCGAATCCCCTATTCTATCAGACAAGAGTAGCCCGAGAGCTGGGGTTGAGTGCTGTTGACTAGCTGCCTTCCCTCTGGACAAATTTTGATGTTGCACTCAACTTTGGGACCATGAGTTCACCCTGAGAGTGACTGTCAAATCCCCTACTCTATCAGTCAAGAGTAGCCCCAGAGCTGGGATTGAGTGCTGTTGACTAGCTGCCTTCCCTCTGGTCTGTAATTTCAAAATTCGAGGCAGCTTCTGAATCAGACAAAAAAGGTTAGGTAGCGAATACACAGCCACAGCCACTAGAGGTCTTACAGGAAAGTTTTATCTCAGGAAAATCAATTTGCATTCGGATTAGTCAACAGTCTGAGTCCATATAATTAACGACAAAGTTTTAGTAAAAATAGTTAGTTAAAAATTGTGATTTTTTTTGGGTCGACAAAAGACTTAATATTGACAGAAAGCTTGCCAAATTTCGTGAAGATACATTAAGTACTTTGACAGTTATGGTATTGTTACGACAGTGGAAGTCACGTGAGGCTGGTAACACGTGATGAGTTTCTAGAAGGATCATGGCTGTTTCTGGCAACTCTAGTCTTTTCTACGCACCCTCTATTTTAGTATATAAGCCAGCGGAGAAATAATTGCAGAGATA